CCCGCCTTTGTACTTTCTCTGGTTGGCCGCGGGGCTCAGCTCGGGAGCGGCGGCGCGGGGCCCGGAGCTGCGCGGTAGTACCTGGGAGGGTCCGGGGAACGGATCCGAGCCCAGCTGCGGGAAGGAGGCCGGGCCCGCCCCGAGGGGCTCCTCCCGACACGGAGCCGGGGCCGAGGCCTGTGCCAGATCGGGCTGGGGGCTTGGGGTCGCGCTTTCCCCGCGCAGATGTCGGGATCCCGGCCCGCTGTCGGTGTCAAGAGAAGCGAAAGGTGATCAGGGCGCGGGATCCGCAGTTAGTGAAAGAACTCGCGCTTAAGTTTCAAGGAGGTTTCTATTTTCTTGTTTGGAAGTCCCTCGTCTGCCGGTGCGGGTGCGGAGGGTGGCCCCCGGGGTCTGCGTCGGAAGGGAATTAAGGTGGACCTGGAGCAGGAGCCGCTGTGTCCCACCCCGTCTGCACAGAAAGCTTTTATTCGTTTTCCTCATTCTCTGCGTCCCCTCCTCCAGTCTGACTTATTTAACTTTTCTTTAAATGTCAACTATGGTTCTAGTAATTATTGGGTATTAATCCACCCCCACCCCAAGTGAAAGGCAGCCAAGGGAGCTTGGTTTTTCTGTAAATTTTAGATTCAGCAACTTCATGCCCTCACCCTGCAAAACCGAACGAGCGGAATGAAACCAAATGGCGAGTAAAATCTTGGTGTAGTACGTGAAAAGGTACCCGTGTTAAATAGAAGAGCAGAGCTCCGGGCGCCTACTAACTCTGCTCACCGGGTTTCCATCTGTCGTGTCTGGTTGGAATTTTGTTTTTAAGCCAGGAAAACGGTCCCCAGGTAACAGAAAGACGTGCAGGCGTTTTTCCTAAAAGCAACAAAACCCAAAAGGTCCTCAAGATTACGACCCACGGAATGAAATAATGAGTACAATTGCTTTAAAAGGTAGAAGTAAAGTTCTTTGAAGAAAGCGAAGGTTGGATATTCGTGTAGTTTCCACCTAAGACTTTGGCTAAGAAGCTTTTCTGACTTTTCTGGACAGTGGTCCGCCAGTTTTAGCCACCTGGGTGAGAAAAAGAAGAGATCCCAAATTCTCTCATTTGCCAAAATCCTATTGCAATCATCATCTTTCGGGTGTTTTTCTGTGGAGGCCTTTTCGAGACCTCCCTTTTTCCAGTTGTAAAAGGCATCATTTCAGGCTTTGTGACATATATTAGTAAATTAAAGGGCTTAGAAAGCTTTTATTAGAAGACATATTTCTCAGCCTCTCTGAATATCCCGTCAGATGTATTTCTTTAATAACTTTCTGTTTGGCATCATCGTGATCACATTCTGAAGTTTGGTTCAGACAGGAGGATCACTTAACTGCCTTTTTGAGAAGACCGTGTGAAGCCCAGTGGAGCGGACAAAGGTGGCAGTCCCAAGAAGGGAATGACAGACAGAGCTGAAGGGCCTGTTCATCCACAGCTTCTGCCCTATTCTCTCTCTCTCTTAAACACCCCAAGTGCAAATAAAAACTTAATCAGGAACCATTTATCTATCCATGCTATTTGCATTTGGGGACAGTAATTTGCTTTTATATTTCTTTGGGCCAGTTACACTCATTTTAATAGGCAATCTTAATATTTTTCAGGGGTTTCAGTTGGGTAAAATGATTTAATGAACAGACTTTTTTATTCTTTAAATATATCAGCTCAAGTTGATTTTTTTAAAACATGACTTAAATGTAGCCATTCCAAGAGAATTCCAAGCCATTTCACCAAAAAAAAATGTTGAAATATTCGTATCTTTGGGTTTTTAGGTTGAAAACTTACATTCCTAGAAATCTGATTTTATATTTCAGTATGACAGCATATTTACAATTTGTGGCTGTATAATTTAATATTCTTGATCTGTTTAGTGCATTACTTGTTTCTGCCTCTCCTAAGCACTTTTCATGGCCGTTTATTTTTATGGAAAGTCACTGTAATACATGGTTTTATTTAGTTTTGCTTAAGATGTCAGGAATATCCTCAGTGTATTTTTTTTATTATTCCTATAATATAGAAGGAAAATCTATTTAAACTGTATATATGTAACTGTATACAATTCTGTACTTTATTTGCACATTCATCCATTTTTGTCTTGCTTAGTTAATCTTCTAAACCAACTTTACAGAAAAATAATCAGAATTAAAATAAAGGGAATAATACCCACAACAAAAATATTTTCTCTCTCTTTATCGTTTGTATTGAGAACTGCATGTCCCCCAGATATACAGAGGAATATTTCATTTTCATCAACATAACATGGACAGACTGAAATGAATATCTTCTTTGTCCCTAAAAAGCACCCTGGAGTCCAAATATTTCATATTTCATATTTCCCCCTTCTATTTCCTGTGTTTCTTTCTGCCAAATTTATTTAACATTCTGTGCATCTCTTTGTATAAAATGTGAAATAAGGGTGATTTCTCATAAGGGTTACATAGCAAGGACAGCTTGCCCATTATAACTTTAAATGCAGGTATATCTTTATATAATGGGGAATGCTGAATATTTAATTTTTCAAGTTGTAGAAATAGTACCTCTGAACTGTCATCATGTTTCCCCCCACCACCAGAACAATGGTGTATAATATAAATTGGCTTTAGTCTTGCTGTTTGAACAAGCTTATTTCACTGTCCTCAAGCCACTGTAATAATTAGCAGTATGATCTCTAGAAAACGGAAAGGAAATAATGCTGGTGGCATACACAGTGGCGGGGTTTTTGGACAGGTCAGCTTGCCTCTATTTGAATACCAAGGTCGTCATGGTACTATAAGGGACAGGGATCTTGGGGTCAGCAGTTGAATCTTTTAAAAGATTAATTTCTGGAAATACTGGCTGACACTTTTTTAGTGAGGAAAGGCTTAGCATGAACTAATAGACATTTCTGATTTGTGAAAGAAAATGGAAAAATAGGCATGTCTGCAAATACCATGAAAAAAAGGCCATTTCCAAAATAATGATCTGTCAACGAAATTGCAAAATCATTATGGGAATGAGCTGAATTGCTTTGTGTATCATCTCATAGAAATATGTTTTGCACAGATAATGTGTCTAATAAGGACACATTTTTTAAAATCAGATTTTTTTCTCCCAGCAAATAGCTGCACTGCAGGTCTCTCTCTGGCAGTCAACTAGCACCACCTTATGGATGGTCTGGGGAAATTGCTGCTTTCCTTGTTAAGCTTTTCTAAAATGTAGTAAATTGATTTAAAATAATCTGTCTTGATGGTGGTGATGACAACATTAATGACAATAATAACGCTTTTGCTTCTTGTTTTTCAGGCATCAGATGCCAGCTCTGAAAAACTCTTCAACACTGTTATTGTAAACAAAGGTAAGGCTCCTTAATTCTTCTGAGTAATGACATATTTTTGTATTAATTTCACTGTCATTGCCTAGGAAAAAAGAAGATAAAATGATGTCATTTTTCTCTTTTCATTCTGGAGCTAACTGTTCATATTTTGTTTTTCTGCTGGAGACAGAATCTGTATGCTTTTGTGATACATTGAAAACCAGCTTATTTTAAAAGATCACCTTGAAACCTTTTTAAAATTTATTTGATTAAGAAATCACCACTATCCATGTGACTAATTTAATGTAGGAAACTGTAATAGAAAAGAATAGTTTTCAGATGCCTTCACTTTATTGTTACTTACCAACTTCCCAGCAGTTGGGGAACGATAAATTGCAACTGTGTACTGTAGATGATAATAACCAGTGGGTGTTTAGTATTCACAGAGTTATGGTCATAAACCAAGCCTTGTTCTGCTGTGGGCTTTCTGTAAAGTTAATAAATGAGCAAGAGGACAGAATTTAAATATGCACTATCCCATTAATTTCTTCCAAACCACGATCTGGAGTAAGAGGGGCTAATGATATAGCAGTACATTAAGGGTAAACTTATCTTAAATCAGTGCCAATACGTTTCTGGGCCATTTTCATTTGTAGCAGTATTGTTGGAAAAAATGAAATTTAGGGTAGTATTTCATCGCTAGCTTTGAAACGTATGTAATTTAAAAGGTATAAATTTCATAAACTAATCTTTCTGTAGAACCTGATTTAGGAGCTTGTATGATAATTGCTAAATAAGGATGTGCTTTCTTTGATAATCTCCTCCTATTATATTGAAGGTACTTGGTAGACCTTGAATAGAGAGATCTCCATGAAGTGGAGTTTGAGACCATTTTAGTATTCTGTAGTTGCCTTGGCTAGCGTTTTTGCTAGCTGGTTAGCAAGACATTTCTGAGTGCAGTTATTTTGAGCTCCCAGATTATTTCGGAATTTGAACCAACTGCAATTTTAAATAGTACATTATGTTTAGAGTTCCCTTGAGGTGTGTGTGCTTATGTGATTGCTCTTGCTCCCAGAATTACTGTCATATTGAATTTTATCTTTTTATTGCATAATGGAGTATTCCAGTTTTATATTTCATCATATTTTTTGATGGACTGAAAGTTTGTATAAATTTGTTATCCATAATGCTAAAAGCCTAATAAAAGAAGATATGTGCAGTTCATGGCATACAGTGCTCGTGTGTAAAAATGCATAATTGTTTACTGTTCATTTTCATGAGGGAACATGATTGATAGATGGTGGTGTGTCCTGGTGGGAAAGGAGAGTGATGGGAGTGAGAGATTGAGGTAGGAAGGCCAGGCTTCCTCTGTGTTTCTGTGACACACACCCCCCACCCAGACCCTCTAGCCTCAAGTGACTATGTCTTTCTTCTGCTAATTTGCTATCAAAAGCTTTGGAATGTGTTTCCCCTTTCTGGGATCAGCCCCAGAATGAGAGTTGGCTCTGGGACCTGCCTAGACCCCTCTCCTGCTGCCCTGAAAGACTCTCTTCAGGGCCGATGAAGAGTGATGGGTGAGGAGCAGCTCCCCCTGCCTCGTCCCTCTGGCTTCTACCCCCCTTCTTTTCCTTTTCCAATCAAACGTTTCCCACATTCTTATTTTTGTTTACTTACAGAGTGTGATTTGTGGCTTCTATTCGGTTGTGAATAGTCATCCCCCTGACAGGGTGCCTTTCTTCTGAGCTGCTTTTCTGGGGGTGATTTAGTTGCCTTGAAAGGATTACGGTTTCTTTGTGTACACTAAAATCAACATAGGCTTTTTCTAAGCTTTGCTGGGGAAACTATACACAAATAAGCATTTTAGTTGATGGCAGATTATTCCTTTGCCCCTTATTTCCATCAAAATGGCCTTTCTTTTCTCCTCCAGAGTTTCCCCTTAATGCCTTATGCTAATTCCTGTTGGTAACATGAATGACAAGAGACGAATCAGTGCAAATCCAGGTGCTGCAAAGTAGACTGGGGGGTACCCAGCACCCCCTTTCTCCCTGGAGAGAGAGATTAAGAGGGGCCAGGAGGGGGATAGCATCAGGGACAGTTTTGTTAAGGGGATTAGTATTCAAACTGCTAAATATCAGGAAAACAACTTCAAAAAAAGGATTCATTGTGTAGCGATAATGTCAATAATTGCTTCAAGACAGGTGCAGAGAGTCTTGTTATGTGCTGTGGTTTTTGGTCTGTTTTCACTCCGGGTAGTGGCAGTGTTTACTGGATGGATGGTTGACAAGGCCTTCAAGGAACTGTCAGCTTCATGCACATCAAGTTCAAGTTCTCCTGCAACGCAGCTTGCCTGCCTAAAGTCAGGTCTCCTGTCTTTATCCAGTATCTTTAGCCAAGAGCAATAAAAAGCATTGTAAGAAAGAGCAAATTTACACCAGGTAACCAGCACTACTGGGACAATCTTCAAAGCCTCGGCTTATTGAACAGTCTAACAAGAGTGCAGGGCAGCTGACATGTGTCTCCCTCCACCTCCAGATGTTTAAAGCCACACATCACCTCTCCCTCTCAGGAGTCTGGCAGTATGCTGGCCTTAGAGAAGTGTGACTTTAAGCTGCTGGTGAGATTATGCTGCTGAGCCTGGTGGCAGGCAGATTTGGTCCATAAAATTTCACTGTGGGAGGGCAGTGCTAATCTCACAAGCTGATTGTGGTGGGGGGTTGGGGGTGCAGCTTTGATGTTGGACTGCACAGTAAGGAGATGATGCTCCAGGCCCAAGCAGCAGGGGCCGTGGCTCAAGTCCCATCAGTGTACTTGGGAGTTTGAATAAGTCATTTAGCCTCTTAAGGTCAGAATTTTCAATCATAACAAAACCTAGTCCTGGGCCAACATCTCTGGTGGGGATAAAAGAATTAATTGCAGGGGGAAGGAGTTGAATTAGAGTTGGTACAGTGGATATGTTTTTATATTACTTTTTGCCCATTGATTTTATTTCAACTTTCACTGTTGGTAGAGTCTATCCAATTTAATAGAGAACTAGTAAGATTTTTGTTGTCCCATATTGTCACTTCTTCTGATACATTTTACTTCCTGTTTTAAAGCAAGGTAATCAAACGACACATGCTTCCACGTACACAATGTGTCCAATGAGAAATGAGCATTTCAAAAGAGGTGTGGAGTTGAGCCTCTAATTTGCAGGCCTTAGCATTATAGACATAAAAAATAGGTGAACTTTAATCAAGGTCATGGTTGCCTTATTTAATCTTTATGTGTTTAAATGTTTACAGGATGTTCATGTGAGTTTTATGAATCCTTATGTCTTTGCGACTCAACCATCTGCCAAAGAAAAAATTAATTTTCCCTGGGAGACAGACAGAGAGAGACTAACTTACTGTCCCTATTAAATTGGATCAACTGCTGTAGGAGCAACAGGATCTGTCACTGGGGTATTTTTTCCTTGAAAAGGAACTTTCCAGAAAAGTCATTATGGCCAGTATTTATTACTCTTTCTTGCCTACGCTAAGTCCTCCTTCTTGATGGCTTCACCACTTTGGTGTAGGCAGTGTGCAGAAAATAAGTGCTTTTTGCTGCACACAACCATGCTGCCAAGATGATCTCTTCTGAAACTCTTAGATTGCTTCCAACAGAACTCTTTGAGCAGCACAGAAAAGACAGGAAACCCTGTCTGGGAGAAAGAACCATCATCACGTGTTTTGTGAAGCCTTCTATTTTTATGATATCAGCCCTGGTGTGGGCCTAGATTAGGGAAAGAGGAAAAGCCCTGAACTGCTGCCTCTTTATGCCTCAGAGCCCTCTCTCCAGGATTTATTCTGCAACCAAGGCAGGTTATAGATAGATGAGAGGGGCCGGGAGGTGTATTTCACATGGTGACTTTCTCACCCCTTCTCTTTCCTTCACCCTTGTCTCAAATTATAGAGTTGGATCTCCTGGGGAAAGGCCTTTGAGCTAACTGATAGGGAGCTTTGCTTTTAGCTCAGTGGCATCTCCTAAGGGCTGGGGTGAGGGATACCCCAGGTAGGAGCAAGACCCCTGGTTTCTGCTCCCTCTTGCTATGACCACCCAGTCTCTACTGAAACATGAACAGGGAGCAGCTGCCCACCCCACCATCTTAGGCAGGACTCCATTTCATCTCCATTGGATCAGAGTGAGGATCCTTCCTGGGCAGGACCCAGCTTTACCTTCATCGGATCAGATTGGGGAACCCTCCTGGGCAGGACCTCACTTCACCTCCATCGGATCAGGGTGGGCACTTCTAGTGGACACTCACCACCATAATGAGCACAGGATGGGACCCTTGCCAGCTTGAGCTCTTTTGGACCAGGCCTGTTTTCTTCTACCAAGCCTTAGTAAGTTTACTGGTAAAACACCTTTGGCCTCTTCCTGATGTGAATTTTGCAACTGAGGATTTTCAGTGGGACACAGATGAGGTTTGAGCCTTTAGATTAGTGGTGCCTTTGAGTATTTCTGGCAGTATAGTTTTATCAGTATCATAAAAAGAACACCTGGATAAAAAATTGTCCAAGACCTAGGGAGACAGGTGGGAATCAGATTACCCAGTGATACTGCAGGCTTAGTAACCAGGTATGTAATAAGTTCTTTAATGGTGACAGTATCATCCATTCATCAGGGTTAGACATGAAGGAATTGTTTGGTTCGTTGACAAAAAGTTAAGAGTTACATTACCACCAAGGCCACTACTGGCTTTTGGGAAACCTCCCCCTCTAAAATAATTTTGTGCATGAAAATAATTGATCGTGGGGTAGTTTTCTTAAGAGAAAAGTTGGTTTAGTGTTTAAAATCCCTTTAGAATGAACATATGGAGACCATTTCACAATTCGTTGTAATGTCTTGGGTTTAGTGGTAAAGAGGACAGGATATAGAAAACATTCTCAGTGTACACACGAGTGAACTGAGCCAAGTTCAGCCTGTGTAAATTAGTTGTGTCATTATCATGTCTTAAATCCTATATAATGGAAAGTTGGTCTCATCACTCTCATCACATTATTTTTCTACCTCTGGACCTTCAT